CCTCCCCTGCCGAGGCCAGCTGGCGCTGAGGGGACAAGGGGGGCCTGGCAGGGGGGCCCGGAGGGGTGATGGAGGTGTGGGGGGGTGACGCTGGGCACTGTCCCCTGCCTGCGGTGCCACCCCTGTTCCCGTCCTGCCGACCGTGCCGTGGGTTGTGGGTGCCCGTTTCCTGCTGGCAATGGCATCCTCATGCCCCTGGTGACACCCCTGGCACTGGTGACACCCCTACTCAAGGTGACGTCTGTGTCCAAAATGATGCCCCCACCTGCGCTGACACTTCGGTACCGTGCCAGCCCGCGGTGACACCCATGCTCATGGTGACACCATTGGCCTGCGGTGATGTCCGTGCCCATGGTGACCTCCATGTGTACAGTGATGCTTCGCACAGTGATGGTGTCACAGCATGGCTGCTGGTGTCATCCGTACCCAAGGGGACACTGCCATGGGGACATCGTGTGCTGGCAGTGACCCCTTGCCCACCGCGATGGCCGTGCCATATTGCTGGTGGTGATGCCGTGCCCATGGTGATACCCATGCCTGCAATGACACCGCTGGCAGTGACCCCATGGGGTGCCCATCTTGACACCATGCCCATGGTGACACTGAGGTGACACTGCAGGCTGGCCGGGAATACTCGCCCGCAGCCACCACCTCGGAGAATGGGGGCGGCAAGAGGAAGCAGAAGGAGAAGGAGCTGGATGAGCTGAAGAAGGAGGTGAACCTGGTAAGGACAGTGACACAGGGACTGACGGGCATGGCTGGCACCCCTCTGTGGGCTGCTGTGACGCCAGGGTCCTTGTCCCCACACAGGACGACCACAAACTGTCCCTGGATGAGCTGGGCAGGAAGTACCAGGTGGATCTGTCCAGGGTGAGATGTTCTGCTGTGTCCCCTGCCTAGCGGGGCCACCGTGTCCCCTCCCCGGCCACCCTGCACCTCCTGGTCACCCACCCTGTTCCACCTCTGCACTCCCCGCTCCCAATCCCACCCTGGTGGCATGAGGCCATCAAAGTGTTCTCCCTGGCAGGGCCTGACGAGCGCGCGGGCGGCCGAGATCCTGGCGCGGGACGGCCCCAACGCGCTGACGCCGCCGCCCACCACCCCCGAGTGGGTCAAGTTCTGCCGCCAGCTCTTCGGTGGTTTCTCCATCCTGCTCTGGATCGGCGCCATCCTCTGCTTCCTGGCCTACGGCATCCAGGCCGCCATGGAGGATGAACCCTCCAATGACAACGTGAGGCCACCACCGGCCCATGGGAACAGCCTGGGGACGTGGGTGGCACGGACATGGCTGGGGGATGGACATCATGGGGGCCCTGCCAGAGCTGCAGGGGACATGGGCACCATGGGGACCAGCTGGCATAGGTGGGACGTGTGACAAGGACGCTCTGACATGTCACCTCTGTCGCCAGCTCTACCTGGGGGTGGTGCTGGCCGCTGTTGTCATCGTCACCGGCTGCTTCTCCTACTACCAAGAGGCCAAAAGCTCCAAGATCATGGACTCCTTCAAGAACATGGTGCCCCAGGTGGGATCCGTGGGTGCCCCGAGTGGGTGCTACCCCCTTACACCACCATGGCACCCGGGGCCCTCATGGGTGCCCCTTTCGGTGGCTTCCCTAATGTCTCATATGTTTGGGGAGCGGGGGTGCCGTGGGGATGGCACAACCCGAGGGGAGGGCATGGCGTTGGGAGGGGACACCCGGCACCCCATGGCATTGGGAGGGGACACCTGGCACCCATGGCACGTGTGGGGGGGTGCCCATGCTGCCCCCTGACTCCCTCCCGTCGCCGCGGGGGCAGCAAGCGCTCGTGATTCGGGAGGGGGAGAAGATCCAGATCAACGCGGAGAACGTGGGGGTGGGCGACCTGGTGGAGTTGAAGGGCGGCGACCGCGTGCCCGCCGACATGCGCATCATCTCCTCACATGGCTGTAAGGTGAGGAGGTGGCACCACCGGGGGGGGACGGGGACACGCGCAGGACCTCACGGTCCCGTGCCCGTGGCGCCAGGTCGATAACTCGTCACTGACGGGCGAGTCGGAGCCGCAGACCCGCTCGCCTGAGTTCACCCACGAGAACCCGCTGGAGACCCGCAACATCTGCTTCTTCTCCACCAACTGCGTCGAGGGTGAGCGTCTCCAGTGCCCTGGCTATGGGCATGTGTCCCCAGTGTCCCCTGAGCTCCTGGGAGAGCTCCGGCACCTGACATGGGCACATCAGTTGAGTCTCCTCGTGTCCCAGCGGCTCCTGGGTGCCCTCATGGAATGAGTGTCCCCTGTGAGTGTCCCTGGGCAAACGAATTTGGTGGCCCCTGTGTGGTGCCCTCAGTTCGCTCAGGGCCCAAAGTGGGCACGTGGCCCAATGTCCCCTGGGTGTTCCTGATGTCCCCTGGATGTTGCCAATGTCCCTTGGTTGGGCAAATGTCCGCAGAGCCATTGGTCTTCCCTCACAGATGGGTGTCCCCAGCCTCCCCCCGGTGGGGTGGGTGCCCCCTTGAGCCCCGGCACCCGTTGGGGCCGTGTGACCCCCCGTGCCGTCCCCTGTCCCCAGGCACGGCACGGGGCATCGTCATCTCCACGGGGGACCGCACGGTGATGGGGCGCATCGCGTCGCTGGCCTCGGGGCTCGAGGTGGGCCGCACGCCCATCGCCATGGAGATCGAGCACTTCATCCGCCTCATCACCGGCGTCGCCGTCTTCCTCGGCCTCTCCTTCTTCATCCTCTCGCTCATCCTGGGCTACACGTGGCTCGAGGCCGTCATCTTCCTCATTGGCATCATCTTGGCCAACGTCCCCTAGGGGCTGCCGGCCACCGTCACTGTGCGTGAGGGGGGCACAGGGAGGTGGGGGGTGCCATGGAAGAACATAGAGGGGTTGGAGGGGCTAGGATAGGGTGCTGTGAGGGCAATGGGGAGCTATGGGTGCAATGGGGGGCCTAGGATGGGTACAATGGGTGCTGTGGGTGCTGCTGCTGCCATGGGGGCCGAGGAGGCTAGGATAGGGTGAAATGGGTGCAGCGGGAGGCTAGGAGGTCTAGAATAGGGTGCTGTGGGTGCCAGAGGAGCTGTGGATGCCATGGGAGGCTGAGGGGGCTAGAATAGGGTGCAGCGGGTACTGTGGGTGCAGTGGGGGTCTGTGGGTCCAGATCCTGGTGCACCAAGACATTGAGACCCAAGGGTTCAACAAGGAGCACCCCAGCGTGTCCACATCCTAGGGGCACCCAAGGTGGGGGTCATCACCACGGGGTGCCATGGGGCCCGTCACGACCCCTGGCTGCCCCCCAGGTGTGCCTGACGCTGACGGCCAAGCGCATGGCCCGCAAGAACTGCCTGGTGAAGAACCTGGAGGCCGTGGAGACGCTGGGCTCCACCTCCACCATCTGCTCCGACAAGACGGGCACCCTCACGCAGAACCGCATGACCGTGGCCCACATGTGGTTCGACAACCAGATCCACGAGGCCGACACCACCGAGGACCAGTCGGGTGGGTGGCCACCCCCCAAGTTGTTCCCTCGCGCCCTGGGTGCACCCTTGGGATGAGCATCCCCTTCCCTTGGGCAATCTGAGCCCTGGACACCCTCTTCCTTGATCCTGCCCCCAATATCCCTTCCCCGGTGCCCCCATCCCTCAGTAATTTCCTTCTCCTGGGGTCTCATTTCCCTTGGGCACCCTGATTCCTGGGCATCCCCTTCCTGGCTCCTACACCTAGATGCCACTTCCCTGGCACCTCCATCAATGGTGCTCCCTTCTCCCAGGCTCCCTGTCCCTTGGGTACTCTCAGCACATCCCGGCTTGTTCCTGCACCCGAGTGTCACTTCCCTGGCATCCAGACCCCTGGATATCTCCTTGTCCCAGGCTCTCCTTGCTTTCCCCGTCCCTTGGGTGCTCGCAGCACATCCCAGCTTGTTCCTGCACCCGAGTGTCGCTTCCCTGGCATCCAGGCCCCTGGGTATCTCCTTGTCCCAGGCTCTCCTTGCTGTGGCCACCCAGATGCCCTTCCCAGGGGCACCATGTCCCCAAGGGCACTCCCTTCCCCTGGGCACCTCCTCGAGCCACTTGTCCAAGCTGTCCCAGCCAGAGGAGTTGGGGACACTGCAGTGGCACTGATGTGGACAAGGACATCCTGCAGGTGCCACCTTCGACAAGCGCTCGCCCACCTGGGCAGCCCTGGCACGCATCGCCGGGCTCTGCAATCGCGCCGTCTTCAAACCGGGCCAGGAGAACATCTCCATCTCCAAGGTAAGGTGCCCGTGTTCCCCTCTCCCCGTGCCCGCTGGGCCCTGTGGCACCCGCAGCGGCACCCAGTGCCTCTGTCCTCATGCTAGCGCGACACGGCGGGTGACGCGTCCGAGTCGGCGCTGCTCAAGTGCATCCAGCTCTCGTGCGGCTCCGTCAAGAAGATGCGGGACAAGAACCCCAAAGTCACCGAAATCCCCTTCAACTCCACCAACAAGTACCAGGTGATGGCGGGAGGAGTGGGGACAGCGCCAGGGAGGGGACACCGCAGAGCCGGTGCCAGCTGCGCCTGCTGTGCCCCGAGCGGGAGGACGATCCGCAGGGATACCTGCTGGTGATGAAGGGCGCCCCGGAGCGCATCCTGGACCGCTGCAGCCGCATCCTGCTGCAGGGCCAGGAGGTGCCGCTGGACGAGGAGATGCGCGAGGCTTTCCAGAACGCCTACCTGGAGCTGGGCGGCCTGGGCGAGCGCGTCCTGGGTGAGGTGCCCGCGGGGAGCTGGGTGGCACAGGGGGCACCGCGGGGTGGGGACGTCGGGCACAGGGGACATAGGGACATGGAGGAATGAGGGGTGAGAGGACATGGGCGCACAGGGAAGGTGGGGGATAGGGGACAGGAGGGGCAGGGGACAAGGGAGCATGAAGACAAGGAGAATAGAGGACATGGGGGGTTGGGGACATGGGGGCACAGGGCCATATAGGCTTGGGGACACAGAGGCCATGGCACACAGGAAGGAGGAGAGGGGATAGGGGACAGGGGACAAGTAGAATGGAGGACATGGGGCATGGGGACACAGGGCAGCGGGACATGGAGTATGGGGACATGGAGGACCGGGGCCTGGAGGCCATCAGTGAATAGGGACAAGGTAGACAAGGCGCCAGGCACCTAAGAGGACATCTGACCATGGTGGGGCCCAAACAATGTGGGGGAAAGGGACCAGGAGGAGCCACTGGCTGGATGCCTGGGTGCATGGGGACACAGGGCAGCGGGACATGGGGCATGGGGACATGGAGGACAGGAGCCTAGGGGCCATCAGTGAATAGGGACAAGGTGGACAAGGCGCCAGGCACCTAAGGGGACATCTGACCATGGTGGGGCCCAAACAATGTGGGGGAAAGGGACCAGGAGGAGCCCATGGTTGCCTGCTGTGGTGTCACCTGCTGTCACCCACCAGGTTTCTGCCACCTCTGCCTGCCCCCGGACAAGTTCCCGCGAGGGTTTCGCTTCGACGCTGACGAGATCAACTTTCCCACAAGCGACCTGTGCTTCGTGGGGCTCATGTCCATGATTGACCCTCCCCGCGCTGCCGTGCCCGACGCCGTGGGCAAGTGCCGCAGCGCTGGCATCAAGGTACGGCCCCCTCGGGATGCCCCAACCCTGCCGGGGAAGGGCCCAGGTGTCCTGCTGCCCGCACGCCCCTCTCCATCCCCCAGGTGATCATGGTGACTGGGGACCACCCCATCACGGCCAAGGCCATCGCCAAGGGCGTGGGCATCATCTCAGAGGGCAACGAGACAGTGGAGGACATTGCTGCCCGCCTCAATATCCCCGTCAGCCAGGTCAACCCTCGGTAGGTTGTGGTGGGCGCAGGTGACACCGTGCGGCAAGGATGACACGACAAGGCTGGGTGCAGTGTGACATGGCGTGGTGTGGCTTTGCATGATGTGAGAT